CCCCAAAACCCCAAAACCCCAAAACCCCAAAACCCCATGATTAGAAATCTCTTAAAATGCTGACGTGTAATTAAAAATTAATAAATGGAGTGAATTAATAGTGCCTTTAATCGTAAATATTTTCAAATCTTCTAGTAAATGTATCCCTTAATTTCAACTTTTGAGAATCTTCCGACTGCCTCTTCTAGTTAATCATATCTGTCGAAGGTTATTTCTTTGACTTTCTACCATTTTCCTTGTTCTTCTAATTCTTTAATCTTTTAACCATAGCTGTATTGCTCAAGATACATTGTTCTTGTGGCAAATATAGCATATCCCTTGTCTTTTAAAGCGACAAGCATCTCATCAAATACATTGTTATCTAGATGCCCCTCAGCTAGGATTCCTGCTGCAGTGATAGCATCAAATCTATTATGAAATTCCTTAGGGAAGGTGTCAGGTCTACCAAGGAAAAGCTCATGAAGCTCCTCATATGATTCCTTTGTTCTTGCCTTTTCAATCATTCCAGCGCTGGCATCAACTCCAACAACGTGTAGAAAGCCTCTCTCTTTGAGGTATTAGCCAACAAGTCCAGTACCACAGCCCATATCAAAGACTTGGGCATTAGGAGCGTTGTCTCCAATAATCTCCTTGCAGAGCTCAGCACACTTTAGTGGGTCATGATATCCAGCTGTAAGATAAATCTCCTCATAATGAGAACTTAATTCATCATAGTGCTCAGCAATTTTATCTTGAGTAAAGCCTCCATGCTTAAGCATCTCCTGCTTCATCTCTTCGGTAACTTGGGTCTTCAACATAGAGATCGATAGCCTTTTACTTTAAATTATAGTATCAAATAATAGAAACTTAAAATAAGTGATTCTAGGGTTCAAATATAGGGAAAAGTATGGCTAATATTAATGATTCTTAATTAACAGATAATGGCTAATAAGTTATATAGTCAAACAAATAATCAGAGTTTTTGATAAGCGAAAGCCTTAGCCTCAACTTTCTTGAATCTACCTACTTCTTCCTCTAGTTTATCATATCTATCAAAGGTTACATCGTGAACAAGTTTCCATTTTCCATCCTTCTCTAGTTCAGTGATCTTCTCGATGTAGTTGTATTAAGTAAGGTACATGGTTCTTGTGGCAAAGATAGCATATCCACCAGTCTTAAGAGCCATTAGCATTTCATCAAACACTTTATTGTCTAGATGACCCTCTGCTAAGATACCACTAGCAGTGATAATGTCAAATCTATTGTGAAGGTTCTCTGGGAAAGTGTCTGGTAATCCAAGGAATAACTCCTGAAGCTCTGTGTAAGATCCCTTTGATCTTGCCTTTTCAAGCATACCAGCACTAGCATCAACACCAACGATCTCTTTGAACCCTCTCTCAACAAGGTATTTACCAACAAGACCAGTACCACATCCCATATCTAATACAACGGCAGATTCTGCAATGTCTCCCATACATGTTTTTGCTAGTTCAGCGCACTTTAGGGGATCGTGCCATCCAGCTCTGAGGTAGATCTCTTCGTAGTGAGAGCTGAGCTCGTTGTAATGGTCAGCAATATTCTCTTGAGAGAAGTTGCCGTGCTTTTGCATCTCTTATTTGTGTTGTTCACTTAGTTCTCCGTCGAAGCTGAGCATATCTATTTAGATTTCTTAATTTATTGTAAATTATATTTAAAAGTACGTCATGAATTAACATGAAATCACATTACGTCACGTGACATCCACTTTGTATAACAAATCTAGAATATTCCATCCAAATAATCCAATCATTTACTATTTATCCACCACCATGGGGTTTTGGGGTTTTGGGGTTTTGGGGTTTTGGGG